CTGAGAAGAGTAAAATTGTGTTTCCTTCATTTGATCCAGATATTTTTACAGTGGTTTGACAAAATCAGAATATCCTGTATTATTTTTGAATCAAGGAAAAATCTGATATTTAGTCTGAACTTATGGACTTCAAATGTTGGACATCTCCCATTGCAATGAGCTTTGCGCAGTTTGAAAATCTTCTGGGGATAAATGCACACACTGAAGACCTGCTCAGAAACCCGTGCTATATTCAGGAGGCAAAAGCTAAGGGCCTCATCATATTGTGCCAGGGCAGTGGCACCAATGATCCTGAAAACAGAAGGAAGTGGAAAGAATTTGGAGTTAATGGTATAATTTATGATAGAGGATATATGATTGGAAACCTGAATAACCAAATATATTCCAAGTGGAGCAGTTGGAACGACTGAAGGAAGAATTACCAGAGCTTCAGAGCTGCTTGTATCCCACTGTTAGCCCCTTTGCCCCCTCATCCTTGTGCAGGGAGCCCAGCAACCGTGTGGATGCCAATGTATCGATAATGTGGAGAGCATTTAGATTCTACTGTGCAGACCATTCAGCGGTGGCTCTTCTGGGTGTTCACTTTCCATCATTGAGCACTGATTATCTCTGCCTTTGGGGTTTCTTATTCCAATGAAGCAGTAATGAAGTATTTTACTCTTTCACTGAAGTTCTTGCAAGAATTTCAAGAACTGTGCCATTTAAATCACTTGCCAGGTACAATTGCCAATCAGTCTCTGTACAATGAGAAAACTTACTGGTTGATAAATATTTCTAAATAAATATGTAAGCCTATAATGTTAAATTTATATTAAAAACATAGATCTTTGAAATTACGTAAATAACATATTTACACTTCTTAGCTTTTCATTTGATCAGGTCTCAAATCTTTAGCCCTTGAGAAAAATGACTATGCATAGTTATACCTGACCATGGGAAAAATAAGTACCTCAAATGCAAGCATTTGCACTGGTGATTCTGACTGCACAAACTTTTGTGCCATCTGTGTATGTAGGTTTTTTTTTTTTTTACATGGATTGACAGGCACAGAAACCATTTTCATTCAGTATGAGACTTGAGGCTGCTGCCATTTTTCCACTTAACCAAACCAGCATGAAAGTGCACCTTGAAACTTGTTTCATAAATCTTTCAAGAGTTGTTTTTGCATAAATGTTAAAATTTCAAAATGCTGGGGCTGGGGAATTAGCTCAGTGGCACCACGCCTGCCTTGCAAGCGCAAGGTCCTGAGCTTGATCCCTGGTACTGCAAAAAAAAAAAAGAAGTATGTATTGCATTATTTATAGAGTAGATCACGATGTATAAATCTGATTTGATGCATGCTTTGGGTTTTAAACATGAGGTTGTACACTTTACTGTTTAATCCTTGGGCCTGGTGCTAGATGAGTGTGAGAAGATGGCAAGGACTAACAGTGTTTTGTTGTCTTAAAAAAAGCCTGTTGGTAGGCATCTGACTCTTTTTGGTACCAGGGATTGAACTTGGGGCCTTGCGCTTTTGAGGCAAGCGGCAGAACCACTGAGCTACATCCGTGGCCCTGTAGGCATTTGAAATATGCTTACTTAGTGTCTCTCACTACCTATTACACATCATTGCTTTGTGGGTTTATTTTGTGTGTGTGTGTGTTATACAGTAGTTAAATCTCCATGTAAAGAAAATAAGTGTTCTGAATTCTAAAAACAAAAAAACTTCATATGACTGGGTTTCTAACTTCTGAATTTTTTCAGTCATATAGGCTTTTTTCATTTCCTGTAATTGGTCCAACCTCATTTCAGCTTTGTTCTTTTTTGTACCAGGGATCTAACTCAGGACTTGCACTTGCGAGGCAAGTGGCAGCACCATTGAGTTAAATCCCCGGCCCCTCAACTTTGTTCTTATGCCAGCTCTTTCCTTTGACTGGTTTTCCTCCATTTCTCAGATCCTGTCATGACTGACATGTGCATGTGTGTATGTGTGTATTTTACTGGGGATTGAATCCAGGGACTTGACACTGAGTTGCATCATTAGCCCTTCTTTCTTTGATTTTTGTTTTTCTTTTCTGTTGAGACAGGGTCTTACTAAATACAAGCTGGGCTTGTATTTGCAGTCCTCCTGCCTCAGTCTCTCTGTAATGCCAGCACTTGAGAGGCTGAGACAGGAGAATGGCTGCAAATTTGAGGCCAGCCTTGAACATATAGTGAGACCCTGTCTGAAAAACACATACATACATACATACATACATACATACTTTGTAAACTAGTACGAGTTAGCCAAATGTAATCAGTACAATTAGATCTTAAATTTGGATTCCTTCTGCAGAACTATTCAAAACTACCAATGAGCTCTTTCTTAGTTTTTAGCTTTTTAAAAGTTTTAGGGCCAGGGTTGTAGCTCAGCGGTACAGTGCCTGCCTGGCAAGTGCAAGGCCCTGAATTTGATTTCCAGTACCAAAAAAAAAAATAAAATAAAACTTTTATTAGTACATGTTTGCAGTACATAATAATTACATTCATTGTGGGGATTTGATATGTGTACGTAATACATCTTAATCTCACACCCATCCCCCTTCCCCACTTTCTCCCATCTTTTGAATCCCTTTCCATTTCCAAAAGATCTAGTTCCTTGTTTCCTATTGTCTTTTTTTTTTTTTTTGGTATGGGGGATCAAACTCTGGTCCTTGCGCTTGTGTAGCAGGCGTTGAAACCACTGAGCTGAATCCCTGGCCCCCCCTATTGTCTTTTATTTCAGAATTTAATGTATTTAACTTTTGATTTCTTTTTTGTTGTTCTGTTTTGTTTTGTTTTTGTTTTTTTGAGACATGGTCTCACTACGCAGTTCAAGCTGACCTTGAACTAACTACATAGCCCAGGCTGGCCTCAAACTTGTGGTGATCCTCCTGTCTCAGCTTCCCAAGTCCTGGGATTACAAGCATGCCTCACCATGCCTGCCTAACTTTGCATTTCTTATATAAGAGAAACCATGTGATATTTAAGCTTGTGTGTCTGATTTATTTCATTTGATATTATGGGGGGGGTGATTTTTGAGACAGGGTCTTGCTGAGTCGTTCAGGCTGGCCTTGAACTCACTGGGTAGCCCAAGCTGGCTTTAAACTCACAGCAATCCTCCTGCCTCTGCCTCTCACGTGCTGGAACTACAGGTGTGCACCACCACACGTAGCTGATATTACGGTCTTGAGGTGCATCTATTTTCTTACAGGTTGACTCAATTTTATCCTTAATAGTAGAGTAGGGGGCCGGGGAATTTAGCTCAGTGGTTCCACTGTCTGCCTCGCAAGCACAAGGTCCCGAGTTCAAGCCCTGGTACCAAAAAATTTTTTTAAAATAGTAGAGTAGGCCTGGGGATTTAGCTCAGTGATACTGTGCCTGCCTCCCAAGCTCAAGGTCCTGAGTTCGATCTCCGGTACCGCAAAAAGAAAAAAAATCAGAATAGTACTTCATTGTGTGTTAATACTACATTTTCTTTATTCATATGTTGATGGACATGTAGGCTCCTTCCAAGATTTAGCTGTTGTGAGTTGTGCTACTATAAACATGAGTATGCATGTCATGTGTCACTGTAATATGATGTCTTTAACTCTTTTGGTAAGCTACCTAAAAAGGAATAGTTTGGTCAAATGGAATTTCTACTTTTAAGGTTTTGAGTAATCTTCATACTGATTTCCATAGTGGTTCTACTAGTTTACATTCCTACCAACAATGTAGAATTGTTCCTTTTTCCCTGCCACTTCGTCAGGATTTATTGTTATTTGATTTCTTGATGAGGGCCATTCATTTTGGAAGGATCCCCTTTCTTTATTTTGAGACAGCGTCTCTGTCTCTCACTATGTAGTTCAAGCTGCCCTTGAGCCCTCACTATGTAGCCCAGACTGGCCTCGAACTTGTGGCACTTTTCCTGCTGTAGCCTACTGAGTGCTCGGATTACAGGCGTGCGGTACCACACCAGCCAGGATCCTCTTTCTTAAAGGGATTTCCATTCTTTCTGGAATTCTTTCTTTTCATTCTCTCTTTGGTTGGTTGGTTGGTGGGTAGGTTTGGTTTTGTTTTGTTTTGTTTTGGGTTTTTTTTTTTGTATGGGGGATCAAACTCAGGACCTTGCACTTGCAAGGCAGTTGAAGACACCCCTGAGCTACATCCCCGGCCCTATTTGTTTTGTTTTTTGAGACAAGGTGGTCTGTGTAGTTCAAGCTACCTTGAATTCACTTTGTGGTCCAGGCTGGCCTTGAATTTAGGATGATCTTCCTGCCTCAGCCTTCCCAGTGCTGGGATTATAGGCATGTGCCACTGCATCCAGCTGAGGATCCTCTTTCTTAAAGGGATTTCCAAGACTTCAGATTTGTAAAATATATAAAACTGCTTGATACCCTGTCCCAAACAGTGCATTTAAGATATTATCCATTGGCCCCTGTGTTCTCTTGCATGGTGGCCTGCCCTCACTCTGTAGGGTGTACTTGTTTTCTTACTTTTACTTGGCCCAACTCGCTCTGCAGAGCCTCTTTTCTTTAATAAAACTTTGCTACCGTTAAAATATATATATGATACATAAAATTAGATATTATATATAATTATCTGTATATATATAATCTATAATGTATAGATTATATAATTATATAATACACAGTCTATAATATATAGATTATATAATCTATAAATATAGATGTCTATATAGATATATCAGTTGTATGTAATATATAAGTAATCTAGATGTATAGAGATGTATATATCTTTATCTTTTTTAAAAAATATATATCTCCAGCCATAGTGATGCCTATCCATAATTCTAGTACTGGTGTGGCTGAGACAGGAAGATCATGAGCTTTGTCTACATATGGAGTTCAAGGCCAGCCTGGACTACCCTAGTGTGACCCTGTCTCAAAAAAATAAAATAATCTAAGCCACTGTTACATTAGATACTAGGTGTCTGTTGTTTATATTGGACCACAAAAGAAATTTCATTGCTTCTGTTTCTCATTCTTTTCTAATCACAGTCCAAAGAGCCGATTGATCCAGTTAAAGAAAGAAAAGCTGGAGTACACTCCAGGAGAGCATGAATATGGATTATTTCCAGCCCCCATTCATGTTGGTGAGTATTAAGGCCACACGATGTATTGCTGAGAAGAAATGATTCCTGGGGTTTGAGGGAAGTGTCTTTGTTACTGTATCTTCCTCTCTCATGGCTTCATTCTCTTTACCATTTAATTTTCACTTACTCTGAAGAATTCTGTACATTATTTGATAGGTACAGAGTGAACATGGCTTAAATCTTGTCCATTGAGGTTTTAATAAAACACTATAACTTAGCTTTTGATTCCATTACGTATGTCATCTAAGAAAAATCAAGTAGTTAGCAGTTCATCTTCAAATATTTTCCATGTTCAAAAGAAGTTAGATTTATGGATTTATAGTGATGAAAGAAAGGGCCAGCTGCTTTCCCTGGTCATCAGTCTGCTTGAAAATGGAACAGGATTTCTCTTTCTTTTCATTTTTTGAGAAAAAGTCAAGGATTTGTTTAGCACCTAGGTAATAGTAATTTTTAGGGCACCCCCCCCATTTAAATTTGTGGTCAACTACTTAAAATCAGCCTATTGTGGGATAGTTGTTTTATTTTCTGGATAGTCCTATATTATTGCTCAAATAATATGATTAGAATAAGGAGGAAAGACCATTTACTTTAACATTATTTTATGTATCATGTAAACAAAATCAATGACTTAGCCAGACCTAGTTTATCATTGCCATAATAGTTATATGAAAAAATAGTTACATAAATCAAATAATGATGCATATTACTACAATGGAGTCAGATTTAAACAAAGTAAAATTTAAACAAAGTAAAATTAAATATTTCTATAAACTAGGGATATATAACTCAGTAGTAGAGTGTTTATCTAGCATATATAAGGGGATAGTTCAGTCCTAGCAACATAAAAAAAGAAAACAAGAAAAAGAAACTAATGAAATTAAATTCATCTCATTACAAAATAGCTATTTTGGTTTTTGTTTTTGTTTTGTTTTTGTTTTTTTTGTGTGTGTGTGTGACAGGGTCTCACTATGCAATCCAGGCCAGCCTTGATCTCACTATGTAGCGCAGGCTGGCCTCAGAATGCACAACAGTCTTCCTGCCTCAGCCTCCTAAGTATTGGTATTACAGGTATGCACCACATGCCTGGTTCAGAAGTTTACCTCTTAAGATAAATATGTACTTACCACAGTGTGTATTGTGCCCTTAAATTTGTGGTCACTGAATCATTTTTTTCTTTTTTTCTTTTATTTCTTTTCTTTTTTTTTGGTACCAGGGATCGAACTCAGGACCTTGTGCTTGCGAGGCAGGTGGCGGAACCACTAAGTTAAATCCCGGGCCTGATCGTTTTTTTCTTTATCATAGTAACTACATCCCCAGCCTTTTTCTTTCTTTCTTTTCTCGCTCCCTCCCTCCCT